GTGTGTGTGTGTGTGTGTGTGTGTGTGTGTGTGTGTGTGGGGTGAGGGGTGGTAGCGGTGCGGGACTGTTCTTCTTCTGAATAAATGAAAACTATGTAACACAGTTGTTTACACTTAAATTTAAAATCTTTGACCAAAGTAAAACTGAAGCAGGACTAGAGAGAGATGAATATGATTAAGATTTTTATTTCTGTGACAGGAGACACAACATTAAGAGCAGTCATCATTGCATTCCTTGGCTTTAGCAGGTCTGATGCTGCTAAAAATGACTTTTTTTCTGGATCTCTGAGAGCAGGACTTCAATCTCCGAACTCGTAAAGTTCTTATTTTTTACTTTGTGATGTCATTTATGAATGGACACTTCCTGGTGGGGCAGGAAACATAGCCTTATATGGTGTTTTGGGGTGGTAATTATGCTAATCTCCTCTCCTCGTGCACGAGCACCTGATACGCATTCAGCAGTTTACGCTCCTCATTTACACACTTTTCCTGAAGATAGAAGAGTTTGTTGAATCTGACATGACATGTTCGTACGAACCCTTCGTACGAACAAAAGTAAGATAAATTTAGGATAAGAATACGAACATGTTCTTGCATGAGGCCCAATGACAGATTAAATATGCTTCACTTTTAACCAGCTGGCTCCTCTTTTGTGCAACTGAATCAATGATTAATCGGATTACACCAAAAATGCCAGCTTAAACCCCCTATCCTAGTTTTGTGCAACAGGTCCATGCTGTGTGTGTGTGTATGTATGCTTGTATTGTGCACATTTGGCCTGGTGTGGGACAGGTTATCTGTGTTTGTGCACCATGCCGTGTTGTGTTGGTCAGAACTTGACCGTTCAGTGCAAGTGCACACATGTGGCCTGGATCTGTGGGTCAGGTGCATTATGCTTGTTTTGTGCACTAGTAGCATGCTGTGCTTCTAGTGCACAATGTCTACGTCTGGGTTGTGGTCAGGTCCGGTGATGGTTTTGTGTGTATAGTATTTGATAAATACCTGCAGGCGATCCTGCTGAACTCAACTACTTTGAGGACCTTACCCACATAATGTCCAAATAAAACATATTTTGAAAATAAATAAATAAATAAAAGAAATATAATTTTAGAAAACTTATTTTATTCTGGTAAAAAAAAAAACTTATAATAATATGTTACCTGTAACATTGCTGATGTCTCCCTCTGCACATCTAACACAGTCATAGCAGCAAACTGGTTTTCCTTTCTGGAGAACTTTACGTGTTCCCGGAGAACACTTCTCACTGCAAACTGACACAGGAACCTACAAGAACAAAACCAGCATGAAATATGTATGCAGTCTCTGTAAAACAAAAATAGTGCAATGTTTTTAAACAATGATTTTTTTAACAATCTGAAACGTATTGTTTATAAACTATGCAAAAGATTTCACCTGTTTTGAACTTTGAGCCCAAATCAAAGTTGTATTTTGTAGACTGAGCTGTTTGACAGCAGGTAATGATGCATCATAGAAACCAATACTGACAAAGTCCACAATTCCATTTTCTTTTAGCTGCCAGTTTATAATCTCATATTTTGCAGCTGGATCTCCGTTTTCATTAAAGTACACTTCTTCTCCTTCTTTGGATTTGAAGTGTATTTTTTGAATATGAAGCAAAATCTAAGACAAGGGATATTAATCTTATAAATATAATTTGATATCTTGAACAAAAAATTGAATTAATTCATGGAGATGTTGAAACTCAAGGCACCTTTTTGGGCTGATAAACTTACTGTAAACGGCTGTAGGTGAACACTCTTGTTACAGGTTTTATTACAACTGAGAATATTGTGCAAAGCATGGGCCACTGCATACACTCCTTTGTAAATATTGTTAAAAATAGGCATGAGGGACATGTCAGTGAAGCTGTTTTCTACTGCAGTCAGATCCTCATGCCTTGTGCATTGTTTCTGAGTCTCTTCTGTTTGTACTGTTTGATTGAACTTACAGCTGAATAATGCCTCCCAGAACTCTGTAAATAAGTCATTATTTGAAGACCCAAGTGGCTTCACATCCAGCATGAACTCTTTCAAACCACTGACATGTGCTTTAGGGATAGAAAGTCCTATAGCTCCATTCAAAATATGATTTTTATCCATTGCTGCAATTTGAGAATCAAAGATCCACGACTCACTGCCAACCCACTGGTACCCTGTCAGGTTTTGGAGGGACAACTCATGTAATAACACCTCCATATCACGGTGAGAAAGGAAAGCAACAATAACCTTAGATGTTGAAGCTTTTATAATGTCAAGCATCTTTTGTATTTTTTCAGATGAATCTGTTCTAAAGAAAGAAACAGAATATTCTAGACAGATGCCCAGCTGCTCTGCTGTTTCTGTGAATGTTGCCATGCCATTGTTGCCATAATCATCATTGGTTCTAACAGCTCCAACCCAAGTCCATCCAAAGTGTTTAACTAACTGAGCCAGAGCTCTGCTCTGATAGTAGTCACTGGGTATGGTTCTGAGAAAGGATGGATA